CCCCAAAACCCCAAAACCCCAAAACCCCAAAACCCCAATGCAATTTGTAATAATTGAAAGTTTTAAAATGGACCAAGAGCATGATCAACTCTTTGAGAAAGTTCTAAAAGATAAAAACACCGACCACCCTCCTGAGGAGAAGCGAGGAGGCCAGATTCCGTTCTATATCCAGCAGAATAAATAAGATGAAGTCTGCTATTAGACGGATGAGTAATGTGGAAGACATAGTGGACAACCATAATAAAGTACTTTTAAATCATGACCGAATGATCAAGGAAAATTCAAATGTTAAAGTCAGTAGCTGCTAACTTATCTCAATAGATCTCCCCAGGAAGGATTGAGCGGACCGTCTTGAGCAAACTGGATTCAGCTATTGCAGCTTTTCAAACTACTATAAGCACATTACTAAAGTCTAAAATCGAGAGAGAAGAATTCTATGAAAAGTTTAGAGAAAAAGCAAGCATGGCTGAACTTGGCACTATCCAGCTTGAAGTAGCAAGCCAGAAAACCAAGATTGGTCTTCTGAACCAAGCTGTTGAGAGAAAAGCTGATGAAGAAGCCAAAATTCCAGCACCTACTCTCGAGGAACTAGAGAGGCTAGAGAAAATAAAAGCTAATAAAGATGAAGTAGAAGACCTCAGGCTCCAAATAGAGAGACTTGAAGGCCTCATTCACAAGATGGAAGAGGAAGAATATTCTCAAGAAGATTATTCAGAATCCTACGAAGGAGAAGAAAGTGAAGAAGATGTAATCTCTCTCGAAGATATTGAAGAGATACCCAAACCTCTACCAATGAAAATGGATGAAATTCAAGAAGAAAAGCCTGAAGCTAAATCTAAAGAAGAAAAATCTGATAACTTAAAAATAAAACAAGAGAAGGATCCTAAAAATCCTGATGGCAAAGACCAAAGTAACCCTAAAATAGAGTTAGGGGAACTTAGCAAAATTACAAAGAAGGACCAACATATTGATCTCCTCAATATTCAAACTCCGAAAGAGTCGACTACAAAGAATGTAGATCTCATGCACGAAAAGGCTGAGAGTGATAAACAGACACCATCTAGGTCAGCTTTCTCCAAGACAATGAAGTATGACTTCAAACCTGATAAAGACAAAGATGGTTCTGTTAGAGATAAAACTCCTCCAGAGAAAAGAGAAGAGGAGAAGTCCAAAAGATCAGGCAGCTCACGCAAGGAAAGCATTGGTCGTAGCTCAAGAGTGAAAAAGAAGAAATCCAAGCTATCTCGTATGAGCAGCAGGGTCTCAAAAGCTAGCAAGCAAACCCGGAGAATCATAGGGGGAGGTGCTGACAGTAAAGTTGTCAATGAGTTACAGCTAAATGTTAAGAAACTCCTTGAAGATATGAGGAAGATCAAGAATTTTGAACATGATTCAGACCTGACTTTTAAAAGGATCCACCAAAGTATTGAAGAACTCAATAGGAAGAACGAGTTATTCAAGATCGAGCATAATTCCATCAAAAAGAAGCAAGATGATATTCAGAATGAGCATTCCAAAGCAATGAGCCAGATAGAGGACAAGACAGTAAAAGTACAGAAAATTTACAAAGATATTCAGACAATGATCAATAATTTCAAGAAGGAATACAGATATGGCTTCAAAAAAATTATTAAAGCGGAAGTGGAGATTGGAGACCTCAAAACTCAGGTAAAATTCATAAGAAATAAGCTCTTGCCTAAAGATCAGCTGAAACAGTTTAAAAAGGAAGATTTGCTGAAAGAAATAGATGTCAAATTTGATATTTTGTACGGGCAAGTGACCGAAATGGCTACTGATCAAGCAAATTTTAACACAAAAATAAGAGATAATCAAGACAAGCTTCAAGAGCCACTCGAAATTGAAATGGGAAAGCTCAGGCAAGAGAATGAGCTTATGTTGAGAGAAATTGAAAGAACCCAGCAAGCAAATAGAGAATTAATAAATAATGTAATGAAAGGGAATTTGACTGAAAGATCTCCTCCACAGAAAACCTCTCATTCCTTTGTAAACCCAAGTACTGCAATGAGCTCTACAAGGCCAATGAGGAAGCATAATAATTCTATAAACAGTGATATTATCAAGGTTGATTATCCTAAAAGGCGTAAACTGACTCCAAGCACCACGAATGTTTCGTTCAACAAATTAAAGAGATTTAAATTTGAAAAGCTCAATGAGAGTAGTGATGTCATGCCTGACTTCTCATATTTAGTAAATAAGCCTATGACACGGAAGCGTTTGAAGACATCATATAGGAAGATCGATATAAAGACACCTATCTCTCAAGAAAATGATCTCCAAGATTACATGAATGATTCTACTAGAATAGCTGCCAAAACAGCAATGAAGGGAGCTCGAAAGAATTATTTTAGGACAAAGCAAAAATAGTTTTTTGAATTTCAATATTACTCGAAGGTGAAGGGGTTTTGGGGTTTTGGGGTTTTGGGGTTTTGGGG